ATAATTATATATGTGTATATATGATATATAGACATATATTATATCTATATAATATGTCTATATATCATATATATATATAATGCCATACTAAGTGTATTTTTATATTAATATGTACTTATATTAATATAAAAATACACTTATAATTAAATTACACACGTATATATATAATATATATAATAACTATATATATTGTATATATATTATAAAATATAAATAATAAGTAATTTAAATTAAATAAATTTTTTTAAATAATAATAAAAAATTTTAAAAAAATTATATAGCTATATGAAATTTTATTCTAACTGTATTTTAAAATTAATATATATATATATATTTATATCAAAATACACTTAGAATGAATTTGTATATATATCTATGTATATAAAAATAAGAAATATACATACGTCCATATACAAAATTACATAAATAATTATATAAATATACACGTAGACTTCAAATATATAAATATGCATATATATTTAAATTCTACGTGCGTAATAATTCAGTAATTTTATTGATTGCAATTTGAGGGACCTGCCTGCCAACCCAGGCCGAAATTCCAGAGAATTTAATTTGCTAGCACTGTATTTTACCCTGTAACGTTCTACGACACCCTAAAACCTGTACATGGGGGGTACTGTTTTACTCGGGAGACTTCGCTGAACACAAATATTAGTGATTCATAACAGTAAAACATATCACAGCGATGATATTGTCAGTGAAAGTTACTTTTTTTGCATTTTTCACACACAAACAGCACTTTTACTGATGATATAATTGTTGTGATACGTTTTCCTGTTTTGAAACACTAATATTTGTGTTCAGCAAAGTCTCCTGAGTATAACAGTACCCCCCATGTACAGGTTTTATAGCATTTTGAAAGTTACAGGGTCAAATATATGGGTCAAATATTTTTACATTGAAAATGGCCAGGTTGGTTACGTTGCCTTTGAGAGCGTATGGTAGCCCAGGAATGAGAATTACCCCCATGATGGCATACCATTTGCAAAAGAAGACAACCCAAGGTATTGCAAATGGGGTATGTCCAGTCTTTTTTAGTAGCCACTTAGTCACAAACACTGGCCAAAATTAGCGTTCAATTTAGTTTTTACTTTTTTCACACACAAACAAATATGAATGCTTACTTTGGCCAGTGTTTTCGACTAAGTGGCTACTAAAAAAGACTGGACATACCCCATATTGAATACCCTGGGTTGTCTACTTTAAAAAAAATATGTACATGTGGGTGTTATTCAGAGATTTATGACAGATAATAGTGTTACAATGTCACTATTGATACATTTTAAAAATGTATGTTTTGAAACCGCAATATCCTACTTGTACCTATAGCCCCATAACATGCAAAAAAAAGCAAAAAAGCACGTAAACACTAGGTATTTTTAAACTCAGGACAAAATTTTGAATCTATTTAGCAGTTTTTTTCATTCGCTTTTGTAGATGAGTAAAGATTTTTCAAGTAAAAGTCAAAAAACATGTATTTTTTTCAATTTTTCATCAGATTTTTGTATTTTTTTTAAATTAAAATACATGAGATTATATAAATAATGGTATGTAAAGAAAGCCCCCTTTGTCCTGAAAAAAACAATATATAATTTGTATGGGAACAGTAAATGAGAAAGCGGAAAATTACAGCCAAACACAAACACCACAAAAGTGTAAAAATATTCCTGGTCGCAAATGTACAACATCGCAAAAACAGTCCAGTCCTTAAGGGGTTAATATTGTTTTTGTATTTTATTGTACCATAATGTATCAATGCAATGTTTTGTGGACCCAGGACATACTTGAAAAAGAGAGAAATCACAATGTATCTTTTCTGGTAAAATATTTTATACATAAATAAACAAATAAATTTGACAGCTAAGGAGAATAAGAAAAAAAAACAACAAACATCCTAAAGGTGAGTATTCACTGGTAGGAGAAGGGTTGTATGTAAGCAGTAAAGGAAAAGATTGTACAGGCAACAGAGGGTTGTAGTTAATGGAATATATTCGAAGCTTGGACTTGTCACCAGTGGGGTACCTCAGGGATCTGTACTTGGACCCATTCTCTTTAATATTTTTATTAGTGATATTGCAGAAGGTCTTGATGGTAAGGTATGTCTTTTTGCTGATGATACTAAGATATGTTGATGTTCCAGGAGGGATAAGCCAAATGGCAAATGATTTAGGTAAACTAGAAAAATGGTCAGAATTGTGGCAACTGACATTTAATGTGGATAAGTGCAAGATAATGCATCTTGGATGTAAAAACCCAAGGGCAGAGTAAAGAATATTTGATAGAGTCCTAACCTCAACATATGAGGAAAAGTATTTAGGAGTGATTATTTCTGATGACTTAAAGGACCACTATAGTGCCATGAAAACATACTCGTTTTCCTGGCACTATAGTGCCCTGAGGGTGCCCCCACCCTCAGGGACCCCCTCCCGTCTGGCTCTGGGGAGAGGAAAGGGGTTAAAACTTACCTTTTTCCAGCACCAGGCGGGGAACTCTCCTCCTCCGTTCCTCCCATTCGGCTGAATGCACACGCGCGGCAGGAGCTGCGCGCGCATTCAGCCGGTCTCATAGGAAACCATTCATAATGCTTTCCTATGGACTCTTGTGTGTTCTCACTGTGATTTTCACAGTGAGAATCACGCAAACGCCTCTAGCGGCTGTCAACGAGACAGCCACTAGAGGAATTGGAGGAAGGATTGACCCATTTATAAACATAGCAGTTTCTCTAAAACTGCTATGTTTATAAAAAAAATGGGTTAACCCTAGCTGGACCTGGCACCCAGACCACTTCATTAAGCTGAAGTGGTCTGGGTGCCTAGAGTGGTCCTTTAAAGGTAGGCAGACAATGTAATAGAGCAGCAGGAAATGCTAGCAGAATGCTTGGTTGTATGTATAGGGAGCGGTATTAGCAGTAGAAAGAGGGAAGTGCTCATGCCATTGTACAGAACACTGGTGAGACCTCACTTGGAGTATTGTACACAGTACTGGAGACCGTATCTTCAGAAGCATATTGACACCTTAGAGAGGGTTCAGAGAAGGGCTACTAAACTGGTTCATGGATTGCGGGATAAAACTTACCAGGAAAGGTTAAAGGATCTTAACATGTATAACTTGGAGGAAAGACGAGACGGGGGGATATGATAGAAACATTTAAATATATAAAGGGAATCAACACAGTAAAGGAGGAGACTATATTTAACCCCTTAAGGACCAAACTTCTGGAATAAAAGGGAATCATGACATGTCACACATGTCATGTGTCCTTAAGGGGTTAAAAGAAGAAACACTACCACAACAAGAGGACATAGTCTTAAATTAGAGGGACAAAGGTTTAAAAATAATATCAGGAAGTATTACTTTACTGAGAGGGTAGTGGATGCATGGAATAGCCTTCCAGCTGAAGTGGTAGAGGTTAACACAGTAAAGGAGTTTAAGCATGCATGGGATAGGCATAAGGCTATCCTAACTATAAGATAAGGCTAGGGACTAATGAAAGTATTTAGAAAATTGGGCAAACTAGATGGGCCGAATGGTTCTTATCTGCCGTCACATTCTATGTTTCTATGTTTCTATAAAAACAAAAACAAAAATCTTTATTTGGGTAATTGACTAATAATTCAGAGCACTAGGATCCCAGATACAGAAGTGAATGCACACATAAACATTGAGATAAAATAATTGTATAAGTACATATAGAATGAAGCCGGAGACCTATAATAAAATCCCTGTTAATAAGGCAGAAGAGCTTAAGAGAGGGAATACAAAAAGGAATCCTAGATAATCGTAAAACAAAATAGCTCATATACAGGAGTATCCAGGTTTATACATTTTTTAAATCTAAATCTTGTTTATGCTCTCCCTTATCCATAATCCTAGTGCTCTGTATTAATAAAGAATTTTGTTTTATTTAATTTTTATATATGACTCTTGCCCTACCTGTGAATAATTACCCTTAGGGCAATTGTTCATGTTTTCTTTTTTCCATATAAATTGTCAGATTCTGGTTTTGGTGGATGGCAAAGTGAAGTAACAACCCACCACTGTATTACTGCTGTTGATCCAAAAGAAATTGAGAACATGTTCGATGTTATCAGTAATGTTTTGGATATTAATGGAATGGATTAGTTAAAAGGTTTGGAAATTAAGGGACCCAAATATGTAAATTGATCCAGCTCCCATGTGAGATTGAAGGTAGGGGAGTTAGGTGGACTCTCAAGGGGGGTGAGAAATTATGCCCTTAATTTAGAACAATTTATCATAATCCCATGATAATACCATATCTCTCTATAATTTCAATAATTACGGCAACAATCTCCTAGGGTTTTCAGGTTATAAAAGAATATCAACAAATCAGTGAGTTTAAGAAGGGTGGAGTTAATTACAATGCCCTGGAAAACTACATGTTATGAAAAATATAGAGATCTTGTGCCAGATTAATGAATAGAGGGGATAAGGGGAAACCCAGTATAGGAGATCATTCATTTTAAATGAAGAGGTTTCAAGCAAGCGCATGGTAATCCTCAATCTGAAGACGATATTTCCACATATTTGACTTGAATGGAAGGTTTTGTTTTCCCATGATGCTATCAAGAGGTACTTCAGACCCTGACTAATTTTACAAGTTAATAGCATTTGAGTTTAACTATTTGTTCCTGTGTGTACAGTTTGTCTGGTTATAACTACATGTTTGTTCGTCCACCCACTGTAAAGTGCTGCAGAATTTGTTGGCGCTATATAAAAAATAACATTATAATAATAAGAATTTGTCATTATTATGGATAATACAATCAAAATTTTTTAGGGTTACTTTGCATGAGGGTTTATTAATCTACACCTAGTGGTACCGTTCTGGAAACAGTTTGAGAAACAAAACATTTTATTCTTTGTCTTTCCATCCTTCCTTTATATTGGACAATGTCAAATACAGTATCAGCTGCTTGTTGAAAATATAGAACATCCTTATTCCTTTGTCTTTTCTCTCTTTCTGCTAGATTTGGATTATGATCTGGATATTGATGACATTCCATATAACAAGCAAGTACGGAACCAACTGGATCAAAATGGAAGAAAAACCAGTCACCTTCCGTCTGGTAACAGCAGAGCCGAGTCTTCGTTAACCAATTTCTGTCTAATCTTCGTAGTCCTCCTCTTGGGGCTTCTTTCAGTGGACTGAAACTGTGGATTAAACCCAATTTCTTAATCTAGCACTGAACTAGCAAACTGAATTTGCAAATTTATAATATTTCTCAAACCATTGTAAAAAAATTCTTGGAGCAAGTGGAATTTTATATAATAAACAATTATTAACCTATGAATTAATGAAATGTTGTTTATTCATACTGTCTTCTTTCTACCTTATTTGTATGACATTAGTGAAATAAATATGAGTGTTTTTATTTTATATTTATTTTTATATTTAAAATCAAGAACGGACAAGAACAGTTGTAGTTTGACAACAGCTGAACAACATCATGTTGGCTGAATCTATAAAGGAATTTAATTCCAACAATTGCTGGAGGTTCCAAATATTGTTATAATCAACATAAAAGTAGAATAGATTCACAATGTTTTTTTTCCGTTTTTTTTCACAAAAATTTCCGAGTTGTATATTTGACCCTCTTGTGGTTAAAGTATTTGCAGGTCTTAAAGGATAGGGTTATGTTTTTGTGCTGATAGCAACAACAGTTTGGTTCGTTGCCCAGAACTATCAGGTACCCAACTTTCAGCTTCATTGACCACAGATCAGCCTTAAGCACTTGACACAGAATAACTACAAGCATTAATTATACATTAACTGCATCTCTAATTTTACAGACTTCAATCAGGAAAGCAAGGACTCGTTTTAGCGTAATGTTACAAACAACTACATTCTATAACATGTTTGTGTTTGTTAACAAACAACTCAATTTACTGTATTCACTATGAAAATCTGTCCAGATACAAAAATACAGTTGATTTCCTCTGCGGAATAGCTTTACTCACCTAAACCGATAAAATTGATTGTAATCAACAGAAAATAAAGCTCTATCTATGTAGAGTATTTAACTAACATTCTTTAAAATATTTCATTTAATAGCTTTTATGTTTATTTATTTTGCATTAATTGTTCGCCTACAAGAACCTTTCTCATAACTTGACTAGCCATTCAGAATAAGTGTTTATGATGCTAATAAGTATGTTCGAAACAAAGCGATAAGGTAATATAAATGAAATATTAAGAGTACTATTTAATAGCGTAACATCTATGGAAAATTTGTAATATCATGCTCTATATCTTTCATGTTCATGGGTGTTTACTAAACTAGCTATTCATCTGAATTATATGTGAGTTTTAATTTTTAAACCCAAACAGCTGAATGTAGGAAAATTCTGCAACTCAGCTATATTCTGAAATGTGTTTTTCTGAAGCAGTTCTTGGTTCACGGATTAGTTCTGTTTGTGTTAAAGTACAAAATAATACCCAAAAAGCTACCTTACTAGAAGATAGCCAATAGGAGAAGGACCCAGTCCAATCTCAACAGTAAGTGTAAAGATAACAAAAAAACAAAAACTTTATTAAAGTCTATTAAAAACCTGGGACCAGACAAAGGTATCTAGACTCTCATATGGAGAGAGGTGTAGCATGCTAAATGGCTAATAATTAGCCTAATAAGGTAAAGGTCCTAACAAAAAAAGGGGACGATAGACTAAACAGTGCACACCTCAGGGGATAAGAGCAAAAGAGAAATGGAAGGAGGGAAGGGAGGGAGGGTTAATTAAATAGGTACAAAGTATGCAGTAACCCAAAGAGGAGTTGTAAAACCCCAAATTACGTAAAGGGATGCAAACAACAGTACTAAACCCATAAATAGAAACCTCTTCCCAAACCAATAAAAACCCAAAAGACAACCATCTCTCTAAGCTAACCCTCTGTCTCCTATATAACACCTTCGTGGGTGTTCTGATCTAGTAACTCGACCTAAATATCTGTAGCCCCAGGTAGATAATACTAAGATATCATAAGTGCAGAGTGCTCATAAGTGCTAACAAAAAAATAAAAATGAATAAACCCGACGCGCGTTTCGGCGTGACCGCACGCCGTCCTCAGGGGTATCGCAATTGAGGCTATCCCGGTGGTATAATATATACCCGTTGTGAATTACATTCACCTGTGTGCCAGCCAATAGCTGCGTTCAGCTATTCCGGTCGTCTCACCAATAGTATTGTGGAGGCGTGGTATAAACTCCACGGTCCCTGCCCATAGAGCATAATCGTGAGCGGCCGGAATTATCTGATATGATATGACCGGGTTCAGAGAAGTTAACCCTTAGTGTTCTGAGCTGACTTTATGGATAAACATTACTAGTATCAGGCTTAATATTCCAATGTTCAAAGGGGAAAATTCATTAAATCTGACACATACAAGAAATAATTCATGCTGATTATAACCACTAGACAAAAGTCAGTGATTAAATAGTCAGCTTGGCAATATGCATCGAGGGAACAACTGGAGGGCCATATCATATGAGAATACTAAGTTACCACTATAATGTATCGAAGATTCGACATATAATGTTGCCAATATCGAAGATTCGACACATAATGTTGCCAATATTGGCAACATTATGTGTCGAATCTTCGATACATTATAGTGGTAACTTAGTATTCTCATATGATATGGCCCTCCAGTTGTTCCCTCGATGCATATTGCCAAGCTGACTATTTAATCACTGACTTTTGTCTAGTGGTTATAATCTGCATGAATTTTTTCTTGTATGTGTCAGATTTAATGAGTTTTTCCATTTCAACATTGGAATATTAAGCCTGATACTAGTAAGGTGTTATATAGGAGACAGAGGGTGAGCTTAGAGAGATGGTTGTCTTTTGGGATTTTATTGGTTTGGGAAGAGGTTTCTATTTATGGGTTTAGTACTGTTGTTTGCATCCCTTTACGTAATTTGGGGTTTTACAACTCCTCTTTGGGTTACTGCATACTTTGTACCTATTTAATTAACCCTCCCTCCCTTCCCTCCTTCCATTTTTTTTTCTCTTATCCCCTGAGGTGTGCACTGTTTAGTCTATCGTCCCCTTTTTTTGTTAGGACCTTTACCTTATAAGGCTAATTATTAGCCGTTTAGCATGCTACACCTCTCTCCATATGAGATTCTAGATACATTTGTCTGGTCCTAGGTTTTTAACAGACTTTAATAAGTTTTTGTTTTTTTGTTATCTTTACACTTAGTTTTTTGGGTATTATATTCTACTTAATAATTTCTTAGGTTACCCCCTATTACCCAGTCTAGGTGACCTTATTTACGCGAGAGACGGGAGGTGGGTAAGTTCTTTCTCCCTACCTTCTGGCCTCTTGTGCTTTCCATATTTATTACTGTTTGTGTTAAAGAATTGAATTGCCATAGGTTCCTAGGTAATTGTCTAGGACAGCATTCCTAGAAGGTTCCATTAGAATCATGTGTGCATTGACAAATTATTGGTCATGTCACAGTCTACAATACAGTGTTAAACTAAAATGAAATTATTGGTACAATGTTAAATTGAAATTAAATTATTGGTAGGGCATACTATATTTGGTGTCATGAAAGGACAGCAAAGGGTATTCAGCTTAAAACAGCTCTCTGCAAATATCCTTTGATGTTTTATTATGTCTAGTTAATTGAGTAGATAGATAATGTGTTAAAAATTATGAAAAGAAGTAAAATAATCAAAGATTTAAAGATTTCAAAGCTGCTGCACTTGCACAGAAATTGTCAGTATCTATTCCCTTAATCAGGAAGAGGTCCACCTACCATGAGCCTCTCTTTCTGGTCTATTTCTTTTTACGTAATAAGTAATTTATTCAACTACTCCATTAGTCATAGCAGCCATAATGCAGCCAGGCCTTCAGTCTAGTCGTTTATTATATCTTCAGAACCCATCAATTACAGAAAGTGAGATTTGAGGTTGAAAAAGCTAATAAAATGTTTCTATAACCCAGACAAGGCTGCATTATTTTAACTTTAAAGAAACACTCCATGCACCATAACCACTACATCATGCTTTTAGAATAGTTTGACTTCTTACCTGGTGACTGCTTGGATGCTGCTCCCTGCCTGAACTGTGGCCTTCAGGCAGCCAGAAGCCACTTCTTTGGGCCTTCCGTTATCTCTCCTGGGCTAAGGGTTAGCTCTTTGGCTGAGAGTATCAGCTGATTACTTTTAGCCAATGAGCTAAGCCCGGTACCTCCAGGCTTAGCTCAGACAGAGACCGTACACTCTCTGAAGGCGGTAGTGGAGACAGGGAGCAGCAGACCCCAGGTCAGAAGTCAAACTGTTCAAAATGGGTTTGACTACTTACATTGCGGGGGAGGAGGGGTGAATGGGGATCAGAGCATTCCAGGCCTATAGTGATCATGATTCTTGGCATGTTCATTTAATATATATTCCGTTTTATGAATCTTCCATATAAAAAAAAGCAGTATTTGCACTGGAACCTTGATGTGTTGAATCAGTTCTAGAAAAGCCGTTATAACCTTCAGTTTGCTTGATAGGGTAATCAGAACCCAAGTTAACAATTGAAAGAGACCATTATAGCAGGAGTTCAATTAATGATACACAAAGAACAGATTATTGCCCTGCTGGCTGTAATCAATCACTTTCTTTAAAATGGAGATTATGACATCCTCATTGGAAAAATCACACTGCAATCTGCAATCTCAGCACATTTGCTTCACTGTGTAACTGCTGTGAGATGTTTAGAATATTAGGTCATATCAAGGTCATCAGTGGGATTCTTTGTCAATCACATGCATGCTTCAGACTACAAATGGTCTGGGAGTAAAGAGTAAAAGAGACCACATGTGTAATCTCGCATTTAGCAAATGTTGTTTGGGCTGTGAAATGAATTACAACATTATTAAAATATTGGGGTTAACAGTCGTTCAGAGGCAATAAATGTAGATAATGACTACAAGACACTTAGCGAACATTGTATTACAGCACTAACGAGATGGTGCAATTATGATAAGACGTAAATTACCCCGCAAGAAATAGACTGTAGTAGACTTGATTTAAAAGTGTAAGCAAATGGTGTAAGGAAACTAGCACCTATTGAGCACTCCTTAAAGTGTAATAAATACCTAGAGGGTTTAAAAAAACAAAACAAAAACAAAAAAACTGAGAAAACACAGAAGGGTGGAATAAGTAAACAAAAAGTTGTGGTGCTTTGGGAAATTATCTACGAAATGTTGTCCCAAATAGCAGAATTTAATTTAGGATTTATTGGGTTAAAATGGTTATT